GAAACTCCGTCTCAAAAAAAAAAAAAAAAAAAAAAATTTCACAGGAGTGAGTGTTCTGTAGCTAATTTTACATTAGGGCTGTTGCTTATTCTTCTTTTAATGGGCTACAAGGAAAAGAGCTTGACACACAAGCAGGGTGGAAACACTCCTGCATAAATCCCTAACACCAGATTTCATGAGAGTAATATTAGAAGTGGTAGTGATATTTGTCTGCTGCAACTTTGGCTCTGGCAGGGAAATATCAGGTAGGAAACTGGAAAAAGTTAAAAAAGAGAAAAAAAAAAAAAAAAAAAAAGAAAAAAAAAAAAAAAATTATAAAAAAAAAAAAAAAAAAAAAAAAAAAAAGCACTTAAAGGGCTTATTGCCAATTACAGTCACATTGGGGGTTAGGGCTTTAACGTGAATTTTGAGGGGGTGATACAGTTCAGGCTATAACAATACTCATTAGTAGTCATTCCCTGTTCTCCCTTTTCCTCAGGCCCTGACAATCACTAGTTTTCTGTTTCTTTGAGCTCACCCATTCTGAATATTTTATATAAGTGGAATTCTGTGTGGCCATTTGTGTCTGGTTTCTTCATATAACATAATGTTTTCAACATTTATCTATGTTATGGCATATATGAGTAGTTCATTTCTTTATATGACAACAATATTCCACCGTGTGGATACACCACATTTTGTTTATCCATTTATCAGTCAGTGAGCCTTTGAGTTGTTTCTACTTCGAAAATAAAAATAGCTTTATTGAGGTGTATATTCAGTATACAATTCAGTGAATTCACCCAGTTCACCAAGCATACAGTTTAGTGAATTTTAGTATATTCTCAGATCTGTGCAACTATTATTACAATAAATTTTAGAGTACTTTCATCTTCCCAAAAAGAAATCTCATATTTGTCAGTAGTCATTCCCTGTTTTCCCCAACTCCTCCAGCCCTAGGCAACCACTAATCTACGTTATCTCGCTACATATTTGCTCATTCTGAGTATTTCCTATAAATGGAATCACGCAATATGTAGTCCTTTTTGTCTGTTTTTTTTTTTTTTTTAACTTAGATTTTATATTGTTTTTTAGTTTAATCTATGCTGTAACACGTGTCAGTACTACCATTTCTTTTTATTGCTGAGTTATATTCCACTGATGGATATGTTACATTCTGTTTCTCCATTAATCAGTTAATGAACATTGGGTTGTTTCCGCATTTTGACTGTTATGAACTATGTACATAATTTGTATATAGGTTTTTGTGGGACGTATGTTTTCATTTCTCTTGGGTATATGTGTAACATAGGAATTATGGTTAGTATAGTAACTCCATGTTTAACTTTTGGAGGAATTATCCTGCACCATTACATTACCACCAGCAAGTTATGATGATCCTAATTTCTCCACATTCTCACCAACATTTGTTATTATTTTTTTTGATCATAGCCATTCTAGTGGTTGTGAAGTGATATCTCATTGTAGCTTTACTTACGATCTTCTTGATTAATAAAAGTTACAAGTTTGTTATTTCTCTCATAGAGAAATAAAATATAGAATGATTTGTATGTACAGCTCTTTTCTTTAGCTTTTGTTTGTTCAGGTCTCATTAAAAATTCTAAAGCAATAATTATATACATCTGATTAATCTATGATAAGAAAAGTCCAGGTTTAAAGTGAGGAAGAACTTGAGGTCACAAAAATTTAGAGAGTCAGCAATGATAGCATTACTTTAGCTAATTATAGAAACGGATATATTTTTGAAAATTATTTCTCTTGCATTTTGTTCTCTAAGAACAGCCTTCCTTTATCCTGCATGAGAAAATTATTTCTACTATTAAAAAGACTACTACTAGTAACATAATGATATATACATTCCGGGAAATACCTTCTAGGCATGGTCAGTTGATACGAATTTAGCCAAGAAATGGGAAGAAATCATAATTTCACAGGAGTGGGCTGGACGCGGTGGCTCAAGCCTGTAATCCCAGCATTTTGGGAGGCCGAGGCGGGTGGATCACGAGGTCAAGAGATCGAGACCATCCTGGTCAACATGGTGAAACCCCGTCTCTACTAAAAATACAAAAAATTAGCTGGGCATGGTGGCGTGTGCCTGTAATCCCAGCTACTCAGGAGGCTGAGGCAGGAGAATTGCCTGAACCCAGGAGGCGGAGGTTGCGGTGAGCCGAGATCGCGCCATTGCACTCCAGCCTGGGTCCTGGCAACACAGGGAGACTCCGTCTCAGGAAAAAAAAAAAAAAAAAGAAAAAGAGCTTTGTTGAGGTGTAATTCACATGTTATGCTGTTCATTCAGTGTGTATTCAGTCTGAGAATTCCCAGCCATAAGCTTACCTACTATACATGTGCCTCAAAAAATTCCAAAAGTTTAGTTTAAAGCGGTTGTAGATTTGCAGTGGCCATAGGTACTTAGCAGAAGCATACATCAACTAATTGTTTTTAGAAGAATTAACTTTGAAAATCTAGGCCTCAAAATATTTCTACAGGTAAAGTTTCAGTTCCAGTCATAAATCAACAAACATGGCAAAACAAACTGCAGACCTGTAAAGGACTACCAATCAGATTTGGAATATAAGTACTTTAAATATATTTAAATAAATAATTATTTAAAAATATTCTAAAGGCACAAGAGACTTTCAGAATTGACCGGGAAGATTTTAAAAAGGTTCATTTGATCTTTTTCAAGATTTTATAATTGAAATTATAGATCCATTTAGGTGGGCTTAACATAGATTAGATAAAACTAAAGAGTGAATAAGTGATCTTGATGATAAAACTGAACAAATTTATACAAAATGTACACAAATATGTAAATATGTGGAAAATATGAAAGTGATATCAACAAAAAGTCTGATTTGAATTCTAGAATGGAGATAACTTGGGGAAGAAGGAAACAGTTATTGAAGAGTTCAGAATTTATGAAACAAAACAAAAAAAAAACCCAGAATTTATGAAACATAGTAGTAACTCTCAATTCTGGATGTCTAGTAGGATCTAG